AGTCTCATTGCATCTTCCTGGGCTTATACACTCAGGATGTGATTGTGGGCTATTCACTGGCAGCCTGGGCTGGACTGTCTCAGGTACAGGTCCGTGTGGCCACTCACCCTGCTGGCCCTGAAGTCCACAGCCTGTGCCCTCGCCTTTACCCGGACACCTGGCTTTCAGACCCCCTCCGAGTTCCTGGAGAACCCCAGCCAAAGCTCCCGACTAGCAGCGCCTTTTCGGAAACATGTCAAGCCCAAAAAGCAGCATGAGATCCGGAGGCTGGGAGAGGTGAGGAGACGGCTAGAGGTGAGACAGTCTGAGAGCTGTGTGTGACCCGTACTGTAGGAACCAGCAAGTGCAGAAGCCCTCTTCCTTAGCAGACATACTAGCATCCTGTCTTGGTGCTGGGAGGCTTTCCCGTGTATTTCTCGAGTTGACCGGCAGCTGTGTGGGGTGACTACTTCTATTCACTGCGGTCAGTTTTCAGTTTCACAGCCTACAGGGTTCTTGCTCTTGCGTCATTGACTTAAGGGGCAGGCGGACTAGGCTAGACACCTGCCATCACCTCAGCTCTGGTTTGACATCCGATATCTCTATGGCACCCTCAGTGCTTCTCTGTCACCTTGGTTTCTCTACCTTCCTTATGACTTCAGGAGTCAGGAGCCAATGCCAAGAAGAGACTTTTGTCTCCTCTTCTTTCAGTTGGTGAAGAAACTGAGTGATCTCACTGGCTGCACCCAGGTTGTGGATGTGGGCTCAGGCCAGGTAAGCCAGACTCTCAACATATTGTCTATTTGAGTTATGAGAATAGGCCACTGGGGAAGGCAGATTAGCAGGCGTAATGCCCACGGAAGCGGGTGCTGAGAAGTGGAGACGGGAGAGTGAGACTTTAGTGGAGCCCGGGACCCAGTTGTCTACACCACTGATAGGGTGACAGTCTTTAGGGCACTGAACAATGCTGTCCTCCCTCATGACTCCAGGGCCATCTCTCCCGTTTCATGTCTCTCGGGCTGGGGCTGATGGTGAAGAGCCTTGAAGGAAATCCGAGGCTGGTAGAGAGAGCCCAGCGCCTAGACCAGGAGCTCCTGCAGGCTCTAGACAAAATGGAGAAGAGGCACCCAAAAGTAAGCTGCCCTTCTTACTTCTTCAGCCTGCAATACAGAACCAGGGTGCTTGGCTGGAACTGCATATTAAAATTCATTTTCTACTTCCAAGTTTCTCATTTAGAAATGGTTCCTATATCTGTTACGCTTTGCCCCTTCCCCAAAGCATCCCCATATCTCAAAAGCATTTTTAGTTTGTATAGTGATTTCCACACTAGTATGGTCTCATAGTAAACTATGATGTGGCCAGATGGGTATTATTATTTGTTGTTCTAGGGATGGAGCCCATTGCCACTGAGCTATATCCCTAACCCACACCTAGGTATTAGACTCATTACCAACAAGAAATGAAAAGACTTGGGCTGGATAGATGGCTCAGTGGTTAAGAGCACTGCGTGCTCTTCTTAAAGGTTCTGATTTCAATTCCCAGCAACCGCATGTTGACTCACAACCATCTGTAATGAGATCTGGTGCTCTCTTCTGGCCTATAAACAGGCGTGCATTCATGCAGAACACTGTATATATAATAAACAAGCATACATTCATTCAGGACACTGTATATACAATAAATAAATAAATCTTAAAAAAAAAAGAAATGATAGAGCTAGGATACGGCTCAGTGATAGCATTCATTAGGCCCTGGCTTCCATCCTCAGCACCACCAAAAGAAAAAGGGAAACTGAGCTAGGTATGGTGGTACATGCCTGTAATCCCAACACTAGGGAGGCATGGACAGGATCCCTGCAGATTTGCTGGCTTGTTCAGCATATTGAGCTCTAGGTCAGAAAAGGCTGCAAAGACCTTGTGTCTCCCCCTGCCCCACTTGAAAGAAAAAGAAAAATGATAGAAATAAAAAGGTGAGCCGGGCAGTGGTGGCACACACCTTTAATCCCAGCACTCGGGGGCAGAGGCAGGTGGAGCTCTGAGTTTGAGGCTAGCCTGGGCTACAAGAGCTAGTTCCAGGAAAGGCTCCAAAAGCTTCAGAGAAACCCTGTCTCATAAAACAAAAACAAAAAACAACAAACAAAAAGAAATGAAAAGGTGTACCGTCTGAAATGATGGTCTCATCTCCTTGTTCAGAGTCTAGCTCTGTAATGCCTGGCTTCTGACTCATAACTCAGAGGACAGGCCCATTCATGTGGCCTGAGGATAGCCACCCAGTTTTGCATCTGCCTTTGTTTTTGCTCTCCCCACAGGTGGTACAAAGAGCCTCCCGCCACTCCCCCCACCACATTGTTCAGTGGGTCAGCCCCACAGCCCTGTGTGATGAGCTTCTGCTGCCTTTGGAGGCACCATGCCAGGGTAGTACCCGCCTACTACTCACGGGCCTCCATGCTTGTGGGGATCTGAGTGTTTCCTTGCTGAGACACTTCTGCTGCTGTTCTGAAGTGGTAGCCTTGGCCTCAGTTGGCTGCTGCTACATGAAACTCAGTGAGCCTGGCAGCTACCCACTGAGTCAGTGGGTGACTGGGCTGCCTGGCCATGAACTACCTTACAGGCTCCGGGAGGGGGCCTGCCATGCTCTTGAGGACTATGCAAAGAGGCTACAGAAAGCAGGCCCTGGCCTGCAAGCACACTGCTTCCGTGCAGCACTGGAGACAGTCATCCGACGTGCCTGCCCTGAACTTCGGAGGCCTGGCGTGCAAGGAATCCCCAGGGTCCACGAACTCAAGATTGAAGAGTGAGGTCTGGGGAGGCTCCCCACATAATCCCACCTTTTAGCACAGCCAAAGAAAATGTGTGAGCCCAAAGAAATGGCATAAACTTCGCTAACCAGGGACACTGCTCCAAATTTCTCTGAAATTGTCCTCCTAGGACTAGGAATGTAACTCAGTTGGTAGAATACTTTATTCTATATGTGCATGAGCCTAGGTTCAATTCCCAGCACGGTATAAAATGAAGGTGATGACATACATCTGTAACCTTAGTTTGGGGAGATGGCAGGAGAATCAGGAGTTCGATTATCCCGAGTTCTTTCTTTCGTTTGTTTTTTTGAGACAGGGTTTCACTGTGTAACCAGCTTGGCTGTCCTGGAAACTAGTTCTGTAGACACCCCCACACACACCTTTAACTCAGAGATCCGCCTGCCTCTACCTCTGGAGTGCTGGAATTAAAGGTATGCACCACCACTGCCCACTGCCCAAGTTCCATTTTTTTTAAACTCTAGAAATCACCAAATCCAGGGCTTTGTACATGCTAGATTAGTTTCTAATTACTAAAAGTATGGCTAAATTGTGTAAGACTAAATGAAGATAAGTTTTGGGACTCTTTGCTATTGAACAGACAGCTTACAGCCTAAGAAACATTATTAAAATGGGTACTGGCATGTCTGTGACAGCTTTCTGGCTCTGGAGTTGAGGAGGACTGCTTCCATGTTATTTTGAGGACAGCCTAGACTACATAGTGAGACTTTGTCTCAGAAACACAAAACAGGTAGGCATTATGGCTCACACCTTTAATTCAAGCACTTGGGAAGCAGAGGCAGGTGGACCTCTTAAAAATTCAAGGCCAGCCTGGTCTTCAGAGTGAGTTCCTGGACAGCCAAGACCATAGAATAACCATGTCTGGAAAAAAAATAAAATGTCTATTTAAGCAAATTAAAGAAGGAATCAGCTTCTAGACAAAACGGTTAAGTGGCAGGTGGAAGTTTCTAGAACTAACTTGTATTATGACTGGTCCCACAGATATGTGCAACAAGGGTTACAACGAGTAGGTCTGGACCCCCAGCTGCCACTGGATCTGGCTGCCCTTTGGGCCCAGCAGGCCCAAGGGAATCGTGTGGTGGCCTTCTTCAGTTTGGCCCTCCTGCTGGCCCCACTAGTAGAGACACTGATTCTGTTAGACCGGCTGCTCTATCTCCAGGAGCAAGGTGAGTTCTTGTCAGATTTGTTGGACCTGGACACCACCTCATGTGGGGGACATTTGTCAGCAAATGTGGACTCCTAGCAGCACCTCCCACTAGACTGGTTTTGGTTTTAAGATTTGTGTGTTTATGCATGTTTTTTGGGTGTTTAATTCCCTGGTACTGGAGTTGCAAGCAGTTGTGAGCCATCCAATGTGGGTATTAGGAACCAAACTTGAGTATACTGGAAGAGCAGCAAGTGTTCTTAACCCTGATCCCTACCCATCTCCAGTGAGGTAGACTTTAAGCAAGTGTCCCAGGCACTGACTGCTCTCAAGCTAGTGTCTTCCCTCTGGAATAAGGTGCTGTGCTGTTGGACAGGCAGAAAGGGTCTGGGCTGAACTAACCAACACTGACTTTCTCCTAGGTTTCTATGCTGAGCTGTTACCCATCTTCAGCCCTGAACTCTCTCCCAGAAATCTGGTTCTGGTGGCCACCAAGACACCCCTGGGTCAGGCCTTCTCTGTTCTTGAAACTGAAGACAACTGACAGTCCAGAACCACAGTGACAGCATGGCCAGTGCACCTTACCATTCAGAGAGCCTGCATCCTGCTGGGATTCTGGCTCTCTGCAAACTTCAGATTTATACCCGTTCTCTCCTTTCATATGTAATTTCTATGTCATTTTTATTTATTAAACTTTTCAGATTTAACTCCTGCTATGCAGTAGTGGCCATGCCTTTAACCCCAGCACCTGGGAGGCAGAGGCAGGCAGATCTCTGTGAATTCGAGGCCAGCCTGGATTATAGAGTGAGTTCCAGGACAGGCCCAAAAGGTACAGAGAAACCCTGTCTCAAACAACAACAACAACAAAACCTCTGTTTCTGTAAATAGGGAAAGGGACAAGGGGCCTCTTCCTTGTTTCTATCCCCAGTCCCCAAACGTTGTAGGACTGCCCCTGGAAAGGCTGCCCTCTGTCCAGTCTGTCCTGACAAGAAGAAAAGCTGCACTGTGCTGGCCTCCACAAAATGCAAACGCTTGAGGAAGGAAGAGAGGCGGTGCAGAAGCTACACTCATGGCTCTTTATTAGTGCTGGAGAAGAGGGGCCTCCACTTTCAAGGTGAAGACTGAGCAGGCAGCAGCTACACTCAGACTCAGTACCAATAAACCTTCTTGTGTCTTCTTGTCTCCTGGATCCCCATAGCCTCCATCACATCTTCTTCTAATGTCTTTAGCCGGGGCACGTACGTTCTTTCTAGAGCATCTTCCACTGATGTGTCCTTGGGGCCATCTATTGAGTCAGAAGAAAGGATAATTTGCCGACTGTTTATTTCTTGCGGTGTTGGGGATGGAACCCATGACCTTGCACTGCTCCAAGCTACATCCCTAGCCTACCAACTTTGCTTTTCCTCTCACACCTCACATCCCTGTTTACTTCCTGCCCACCCCCAGCTTACCAGTCCATGTTTCAGGGACAATGCCATCTGCTCTAGGAAATTCAGGTTTGGGGATAATTCTCCCAGATCTTGTAGAGACTCGGACCCGCTCTCCTGCCTCAGTAAATCTCCACTGGATCTCAGTGGGTTTCCTGGTAAACAGAAAAAAAATTAGTCTAGAGCCAGATCCTTGTGCCACCCTCCAACCCAAAATTGAAGGCAATGGTAACTTGGGTTACCACTTTTGTTTCTGTCAGAGCTACTGACAATTGTGTGCAAGAAACAGACCCCACTGGGCGGTGGTTGTGCACTTTCAGTCCCAGCACTCAGAAGGCAGAGGCAGGCAGATCTCCGAGTTCTAGGCCAGCACTGTAGCCAGGAGAGCCAGGACTACACAGAGAAACCCTGTCTCGAACCTCTCCCCTCCCCCCCCAAAAGAAACAGATTCCCCTGAGTTTCAGCATATCCAACAAACCATTCTCGTGATAAATGGGTCTGTCCGACACCTGTATGGACTCAAGTTAGAAACCCCTTGACCAGAGGCAACTGTGCTTGCCTGTCCATAGGGTCCACTAGCTTGACCTGGTGATGAAGCAAGGGGGCTTCACTAGGGATCATGGTCCCTCGGTGATCCTTGGTTCTGCCAACATAACGGTAATGCTGTCCAGGAGAAGGCATTATCAGAAAGCAAAGTGTGTGAAAGGGATTTATCTACTACTGTTTAGCATATTCAGCTCAAGCCCACTGTCTCCCCATGCTGCTCTTAAGAAAAAAGAGACAGATGGGAAAGACTTCCCAATTCCTCATCATCCTTTCACTCACCGTGTTCAACCCCTCCAGGACAACCCAGTTCCGCTGCCGAATAACTTGGGCCACTTTGCCCTGCTTCCCAGCATCTTTGCCTTCTAAGATTTCCACCTGTAAGATGAGAAGACAAAGGCAGGAGATTGTTGCCCACAACCCTTCCCGTCATTCTTGATGTTCTCACCATGTCTCCACAGAATAGGTGCCAGTCTTCATCAGAGATGGGCTCTATCACCACTGGGCGCCGCCTGCTCCATGGAGGATTCTTTCTCTTGTCTGAGAGGGAGCCTGGACGGCTCATCCCATAGCGGTAGTGGGGAGGGAGGGTGGCTTTGGATGCCAAGGCCAGCAGGGCCGAAAGCCGCATGGTTAGATGTAAGAAATCTCACCAATGAAAGACACAAAAAGTTTCTTCATCAACTATGAGACAAAAGAAACAGAATAAAAATTTGAACTAAGAGAGGAACTTTTGTTTGTTTTTAATCTATTTTGTTTTATGAGCATTGGTGTTTTGCATGCATGTATAGCTGGGTGATGATGTTGGGTCCCGTGGAACTGGAGTTACAGACAATTGTGAGACACCATATGTGTGCCAGGAAATAAACCCAGGTCCTCTGGAAGAGCAGTCAATGCTCTTAACCACTGAGCCAACTCTCCAGCCCCTTGTTTGTGTTTTGAGGCAGGGTCTCACTGTGTAGCTCTGGCTGACCTAGCTGTCTACAGCTATGTAACTACGTAGGTAGGCATAGTCACTATGTAGACCAAGCTGGCCTTGAACTCTCAAATTCATCTGCTTCCCTAGTACCACCATTCACAACCCAGGAATGTTATTAAAGCATACATAGACTCTCTTGCGCAGTGGACTTCATCTTGTTGACTCTTCTCACAAGTTGTCTTTACAAATGAGAAAACAATGGGGTTATGTATTATCTACAGTGATAAAGCTACTATGGGGGCGGAATCAGCATTCAAACCCCATCTATTGACTTCGAGGCAAAAAATTTACTTGAGGCCGCCAGATAATGGTGGCATACGCCTTTAATCTCAGCACTTGGAAGGCAGAGGCAGGCGGATCTCTGAGTTCGAGGCCTGCCTGGTCTACAGAGCAACTTCCAGGACAGCCAGGGCAACAGAAAAAACATGTTTCAAAAAAAGAAAAAAAAAATCCCTGAGGCCAGGAGGCACACTATCTAGTTCCTTGCATTGCTGTCTCAGGAGAACTTGGCATTTAAGATACTTAAGACAGTTATTTAGTGAATGCATGAACAGCAGGACAGGGGAGAAGCAGGTAATGAAAGAAAAGGACAGAGCCTGAAGGTAGTCACAAGGCAGCAAAGAGAGTCAGTGAGGATAAAAATATCTTACAGTGTGCCTATGTAACAGGCCCCAGATCTTCACACAATTGACTCCATTTGGGCCATAAAACTCATCACATAGACAGCACCACCAATGAAAACTAAAACCCATTCCATCAAAGTCCACGATTCTGGGAAAGTCTCTACATGTATTAACCTTGCTTTTTGGTTTTGTAGTTCTGCTTTTGGCTGTGTGTCAACCCAGAGTATGTTTTTTGTGCTTAAAACCTCCCCTTGAAAAATGCTTGGGGATACACTGGGACCCCCCAATACCCAATGCAGCCGCCAGCCAGCTAATAAGGACTTTTTATTGGCTTGAACCCATGTTCTGTCTTCTTCTAACCTCACACAGGAAAGACTCACTGCTGTGGGACAATGGTCTTGTATCCTGTAAAGATTTGTCACTTGTATTGGTTTAATAAAACACTGATTGGCCAGTAGCCAGACAGGAAGTATAGGCAGGGCAACCAGAATAGGAGAACTCTGGGAAAAGGAAAGACTCAGTCTGCAGTCATCACCCAGATGCAGAGGAAGCAAGATGAGAATGTCTTGCTGATAAAAGGTACCAAGCCATTTGGCTAACACAGACAAGAATTATGGGTTAATTTAAGATGTAAGAGTAAGTTAATAAGCCTGAGCTAGTAAGGCAACCAGTTTATACTTAATGTAGGCCTCTGTATTGTGTCTTTGGGACTGAATGGCTGCGGGACCGGGTGGAACAGAAACCTCTGTCAACAGACTGTCAGCAACCCACTCCTCCCTAAGAATGGCTTTTCCTTTAAGACTTAAGGACCCCAAGACTGCACACTCTAAGGTTGTTGACTCCTAGACTCCCAACTTGGGCAGTAGACTAAATTAACAGATTACTGAATTAACTGATAAAAAGTAAGTGCTTTAAGCCAGGCCTTCCAGTTCCTTGGGAGACTGTGGAAAGATAACAAGTTTAAGACTCACTTGAACAATTTTGTGAGACCCTGTCTCAAAAAGTAAAAAAAGGGGCGGGAGGGGGGCTAAAGAGAAGGCTCAGCACTTAAGAGCACTTGCTCCTTTTCAGGAGAACCTGATTTGATTCCCAGCATCTACATGGTGTTTCACACCACCCAGAATGCCAGTTTCAGGGATCAATGCCCTCATCTGGCTTCTCTAGACATCAGGCATGCAAGTAAATGCATATACATACATGTAGGCAAAATACACATTTAAAAAATTAATAAATCGTGTTGGAGCGATGGCTCAGAGGTTAGGAGCACTGCCTGTTCTCCTGAAGGTCCTGAGTTCAATTCCCAGCAACTATATGGTGGTTCACAACCATCTGTAATGAGATCTGGTACCCTCTTCTGGCCTGCAGGCATAGATGCAGCAGAATACAGCATATATAATAAATAAATAAATCTTAAAACAAAAGAAAAAGAAAAAAATTAATAAATCCAACTTGAAAAAAATGGTAAAAGGAATCAGATGTGGTCATGCACATCTATAATGCTAACACTTGACAAGTAAGAATAAAAAGACTAAGTGAGACTTGAGGCTGGGCTACATAGAAAAACCCTGACTTTTAAATATTTTTATTTTTAAAAAAGATTTATTTTATGTATATGAGTGCTCTGTCTGCACATATGCCTTTGTGTCAGAAGAGGTGCCACTTTAGATGATTGTGAGCCACTATATGATTGCTGGGAATTGAACTCAGGACCTCTGGAAGAGCAGCCAATGCTCTTAACTGCTGAGCCATCTCTCCAGCCCTTGACTTTTAAATATTCTTAATGGAAGAGGAGGGGACAAGGCTCTGCAGTTAAGAGCACGTGTTGCTCTTACAGAGGACCATCCATAACTCCAATTTCATACCCTACTTTGACCTTAGTGGGTACCAAGAACATACATGGTGTACATACACACATGCCCACAATGTGTAGAAATACATAATGTGTAGAAATACTTCCACACATTAAAAAAAAATCTAAGAAATTAAAAATAAAGAATGAGTGCAATAGGACAAACCCTTTATCCCAGCACTTGGGTGGCAGATCTCAGCGAGTTCAAGGCCAACCTAGTCTACACAGCAGTTCTGGGCCAGCCAAGACTACTTAGTGAGACCCTGTCTCAACAAAAACAAACAAAAATAAAATACTAAGTGAAGAGATTCATTGAAATCAGAAGCATTATAATTACTATGAGTTCAAGGTCAGTCTGTCCCACTCAGCAAGATACAGAACAGTCTGAGCTACAAGGTGAGACCTGCTCGAATCAAAACAACAAAGTCAAAAGGCCCAATGCAGAACGCTAGCCTAGCCTGCAGTGAACTCTCTAAATAGCAGCTGCTAGCCTGGTTCCATATTAAGTAGCATCTCACAGAAGCCTAAGGGCAGCGATGAAATTGCTCCTAATCTCATTGTTTTTTGTTTATTTTTGTGGTGGGGGGAGGGGAGTACTGGTGATCAAACTCGGGGATTCACATGTAATGGGCAAGTAATTCTGTTTAAGTGAGGTACTCTTCCCTTCTTTATATACCTCAGGATAGGAGACGCGGGGGTTGGCCCAGTGTTATCCATGATGCTAGATGAATACAAGGGCTTAAATATTTCTAATTAGATCCAACACACTGATTCTAAGCACCTGGCCAAGTCGAAAACTGAGAATTTCAATGTTTTGGTCTTCTCAGTACCCAGGAAGTGCTGCAATTCTCATTAAGATCCTGTTCACTAAAACGAAAAACGGGTCTAAGGCAGAGAGGCGGAGAGAGGCAGGGCGAGAGAGAGGGAAGGGGGGGGGGGAATAAAAC